TGCTGAACTCCAGACCCGCCATGTGTGGCAGCCAGCCGCGCCTCTCTCAGCTCTCCAGGGACAAGTTCGAAGGGCAAAGTGCTTTTGCTTTGCATGGTGCTGTTCAGGCGTACTCAGTGTCACGGCGGCTTTACGGACTCGTGTTCCTTGAGAGCACGATGTCCTCTGTCTGTACAGGGTGACTTGTAGGGCTCGGGGCTGTCATTTAGTGGTCTTCTCTGCTCACCACTCTGACTCTTCTTTCAGGGCATAGTGAAACTAGAGCACCCTCGCATTCACGTGGATTTCCCAGTGATCATCTGCGAGGTGTGAGTCGCCAGACGTTGCTGCCTGTGGGTGGGAGGCCCTGCCCCGCCGCCCCCAGCCTCACCAGGCGAGGCTGCGTCGTGTTCCCACCCAAGGAGGACTCTGGGCGTGTGGCGGGGACGGCAGCTCTCCCCTTGCCCGGAGGTGAGGCGGGACGGAGCAGGCCGGGCTGGGCTTGGCTAGCGCTCCTCGCAGGAGATGGGTGACCTTGTGCGACAACTGCTTACAAACATCCTCGCTTGAGTCAGAAGACTAAAATACCTTTTGTAGCCTCTAGCCGACCGTTTGATGGGTAACTGGAACTGCAAACGAGCTGCTGTGTGTGAGCTGTTAAAGGGAGAGGGAGCCTGCACTTCTCACCAGACAAAATCCCCTGCTTCTCAGGTATGCGGCCCAGGGAGAGCCAGGGCAAGGTAGTGTGCTGCCCGGGGCCCTGAAATCCCTTGGGCCCGGTGGTTAGATGGCCGGTGTTGCGGCACGTCGCTTGACACGGGTGTTATGTGATGCTCCCCCGAGTGGGTCTGTTGATGGAGGATGAAGGCTAAGGTGGGGCCGGTCTCGAAGCACGTCTGGCTGGCTGCTGCGCTCCTCTTGGGAAGGGGATGGAGGTCAGATGCCACTATCTTGGACCTCGGTCTCTTCCTCCTGTGTGTTTCCCCGCTTATGCCAGCTCTGGAGAGGTTGGCTTTGCTGCTGCCCACAGTCCCTCTGCCTGCAGGAGATCTCTGCGGTCCGTGGCCGTTGCTGGCAGCAGTGAGGTCCCCAGCTCTGCAGCAGACTTGCCTCCCCCGTTAGCAAGCTGGCTCCTGCCGGGCACTGACCCTCGCCCGCTGTGGGGCCGGGCTGCTGGGCAAGGCATCTCCTCCTAACGTCCTCACCCCCCACTCCCGTCTTGAACGTACCTCCCGGTGGGGTGGGCCTTGACGGAGCTGAGCAGGAAGGAAATAATTGCTTCCGCCCCCATCTCTTGAAAACAATCAATTGGTGTGCCTGCCCCGGCTTGGAAATCTCCCTGGCGATGTGAACTACGGTTCCTGCCGCGTCCCAGCTGGCGGCAGGAGGAGAAACGCGATGCACTTTAAAGGGAGGCTTTCTGCTCCGTCTTGGAAGGTCCTGCTCTTTTCTCCTCTTTCCTCCCGCTTGAGAAGGTCGAGGTCACCTTGGCAGCACTGAAAAAAACTCTCACCCCTGCGTGCGTGCCCTGGGGTGCCGAGCTAGCTGCTGCAGGGCTGGGGAAGGCCTGACCCGTACCGTCCCTCGCCAGCACCCTGCGCCACTGCCTCCCTGCTCGGCTGCCGCCGGACCAGGCGGATGGAGGAGGACTGGCCGTGGGGCAGTGGGCACAGCTTTAAACTGGGTCAGAACCTGCTTCCCACAGCAGCCGACTCGGCTTTCCTCCTCTTTCGTTCCAGAACTTATTTACTTTCTAAGCACTTCAGACGTTTGCTACCTCGATTTTTAATTTAAGCCGCTGGCACTTGGCTGCCAGCCCTGTCGGCGTCTACGTTGGATGTATTCATCCCCGCGCCCACCGAGAGCCACCCGGGCGTGGGGCCACATTCCCAGCTTCGGGGAGATAATGGCGGCGTGGCTGTTGCCGTCTTCCTGTCACCACCTCTTCCCTCCGCGTCCCCCCATCCGCTGTTCCCATCGACAGGAGCGAGCACGGAGGGTGAAGCATGCAGGGTGAAGTGGATGTGCCAGCTGCTGCCGCACAGGGAAGCAGGCAGGGCTGGGCAGAGCTCCGGCTGGGAGCTGTCTACACTGTGATGCTGGGTGCTTCTTTCGACACCTTTTGTTCTCCTGCTTGCTTGAAAGAGTCTTGTCTTAAAACAATCACCCACTGAAGTGTTTCTTATTCGCACCACCTGCTCTCGAGTTTGTCCCGGGCCGGATCTCCCTGGGAAGGGCGTCCCTCGGGCTCTGCAGGAGAGCAGGAGCTGCTGTCCCCAGGAAGAGGAGTGAAAGCCGTGGCCAGGCTGCCTGCGCCGCCTTGCCCCGCTGCTGCCTGCAGGCGCGGGAAGCTGCACTGAACGCCCTCGGGTACAGGGGAAGGCGGAGGAGGAGTGAGGAGGGAGCTGGTGCCGTTTGCCTGCCCCAACGGGGAGCCCCTCGCCTGGCCACCGGCCAAAAATCTGCTGACAAGGCAGGGCCCGAGCCCTGCGGGGGGCAGAGACCGAGACCGGCTTAGCAAGGATGCTTTTGTCCTCCCTGACAGGCTGCCCACCCTTCCCCCAGGGCGTCAAACATGCTTCCCCCAAAAAAACACGCCTTCTCCCAC